GTGAGGAGGGGAAGGGGTTCAGCCACAAGGAAAGTGAGCGGTTTATAACGTATCACAATATGGGTCGAATGTGTCACGTGTAGGCGGGCGCTCCCACGAAAGAGAATAAAACCCGAAGTAGAAGCTTCGTCCAGTATATTTTCGTGTGTGGTGCTGGCCGTGGTCATGGTCAGCAGCCACGACCACCAGCCATGCGAGCAGCATCGACGACGAGAGGGCTGGGCGTCACTATACCCGCCAACAATCAATCCACCAATCAAATACCACCACCAGTTAAACAAAAACCAAGAGAGTGACTGACTGCCGCGTGCCTTCACAGCACAAGCGCATCAAGCCGCCAGCCAAACATGAAAACCAGTGTCTCGAACGAGCGAGAAAAACAAAAAAAGAAAAAAGTACCGAAACAATACCAATTGCACCCGTACCCGGTGAAAGAGGCAAAAGTTGGCGTTCTTTCCTCCCAGCCCCTTCACTCGCAGCCAGCCCGACAGCACTTGGGCGATAACCGCGGCGATCATGTAGTAGCCCCAGTGTGCGTGCTCGTTCTGGTGCTCTCCACCCGACGCAAAAATAGCTCTGGGGGTTACGGGAGACCCGTGCGACGGCAAGGGGTCGATGCCACAGAGGAAACAGACAGGGGCGCGGAAGCCGCTTGAGCCGTGTCTTCTTCGCTTTTCGTTACAATATTTAAGCAGGACGCAGCACATTGGAGTTGGGTAGACGTATTGGCTCCTCTGGAAAGAGACTGGAATCGAGCACGGACTCTTAAGATTGTTCTTGGAGTTTGATTGGACGGACGAACTAACCAAATCAGTGATGGTCGCCACCACATGCACGAGACGTGCACCCTTGGAGAGGCTGCCGTGTTGGCACCGAAGGGATCGTGCTGTGTGTTCGTCGGACCCGCGGAAGCTAACACAACTAGATAATCGGGGTATTAAACAGGGCACCAACAAAGGGCAAACATATATAAAAAACGCTACAGCAGTAGCAGCACTCTCAACACCATGACTTGCTTGGAGCGGGGACCGAGCAACATGACGCGTACTATGAGCCTTTGGGGGTAACCTTCAATTCTCCCCTCGGGACTGCAAAGGAAACACGGTGGGGAGGGGGTTCAGTATTGCCGGTACTTGCTCGGCGAATCGACTGGCGCCATTCAGAGGGAGCGGCGACATTCAACTGGTGCCCCGGAGGCCCCCACAGGGGCGCGTGGTCATGTTTTGCATGCTTTAGCTGTTTGGCCACGTGTCATCGAGAGAACGGAGCACAGGGGGGGAGGGGAGAATAAAAAAAAAACAAAGCAAGGCACGTGGCACAAATTCGTAATTGGTCGTTGGTCGTACTCACGTGATGCCGAGGGGCAAAACTGCCTCCGAGGCTACGATCATGATCTCCTCGTGCATCTCCCACCACTGGTAGCGCCAGATGAAGTCGATCTCCTCGCCCTTGCGGTACCTGTACAGACGAGAGGGGCGCAAGGGACGGGAGGCAAGCGCCAGAGGTGAACGTATAGTTATACTATGAAAAAACAGGGATGAGTAAACATTAAGGCTATGGGAACATTACCAAAAAGTCTGAGTGAATTCAAACGCCAAGTGAAAACGACTGAGTGAAAAGCGGTCGAGTGAATACGAAGGCTGAGTGAATTCAGAGGTCGAGTGAAGGAAAAGGCGATGTGAACGAAAAGGTTGAGGGACTACGAGGGCAAGAGAATCAAAAAGACAACAGGTAGACGCAAAACATGTTCCGCGTCCACTCGGTGAAATATTCAAACAAGAGGGTCGTCGACGCGGGATATTTGAATGCAAGACTCTGCCGCAGCCGCCCCCTTGACCAACTACATCCGTCCGGGTCTTGGCCGCTGGCTGCGGAAGAGGCCGTCAAAATACGCCGCGCTGCACCGAGGGTACTGCACAGACAACGGACTAGGGTTGCGTGTGTTTGAACGAGCCATAAAAAAGTGACACCCGTGCTAAAAACACCGGGGAATCAATCCGGCCATGGACGCGGAGATCACCGTCCGTTCGTGAATCCTCTCCGCATCAATGGTACTGTTTTATTGCGGGACGAAGCGAAACTCCCTCAATATTTCTCGAGGATGACAACGACAACAGCCACGGCAGCGTCGAGGGCGGCCAAGACGACAACAACAAAAACAACAACAACAACAACAACAACACGCTATTACGACCCAAATAAACCGGTGCCCGAGAAACGACTTACCTGACGTAGTAGATGCCCCACGGTGCCAGGACCATCCACGCGATGAGCATGAGCGCCCCGTGTATGGACACGAAGTTGTTCTCGTCGCACTCGTTCTCGACGTCTCCCGTGGCAAAGTTGACGGTGCTAGCGCCTCGATTGGCGTTCGGGTGCTGGCCCACCCCGGCCCCCTCTCGGAAGGAGTAGATGACTTCTGTGTCTTCCTCGTTGTCGAGGTCCTGCCACACAGACAGGAGGTAGAGGCCACACGGTCGGTCAGCCCCTTCACGCTGATTACTGTACGCGGTAGGTAGACCACGCGTACGCACATGCAACAAGGAGATGACGACGACGAAAGGAACAAAAAGAACAACGAGGACTGCAAGAGCGACACGCACAAACCAACGGCGAGAGACATCAACGACGACGACGACGACGACGACGACGACGACAACGACGACGACGACGACGACGACGACGACGACGACGACGACGACGACGCCGAGGACGAGGAAGACGACAAGAACAGCAACAAACGGCAACGACAACACAAACCCGAGCACCAACACGAGTACCTCCCCCTCCTTCCACAACCAAAACCAGCTCTTCTTTTTCCGCGTTTTGCCGTCGACACGGTTGTTGCGTTATGGGTCTCTTGATTTGTTTCGGCGGGCGACACACACACAAAGATCATGGCCTTCAAAAGCATTTTGTGTCGCCAAAGGCACTGCGACGGACGTATTTTCGTTGGTTAGCGTGGTCGATGCCCGAAACAAAGACAAACAAAAACACCAAAAAGGGCCGAGACGCAACACCTACTCGCGTCGTGCGTGCTCTGCGTGCACGAGCACACGCGCGCAGAAGTCACGATCTCCACTCGTCGTCGAGCGAACAAAAAAAAAAAAAACTTGCCTGGGAGAGGTCGTAGTCCTGATCGTCCAGGGTGGCGAACGACCTCAAGAACTGCACCGTCGTCCAGTCGCCCTCCACCTCCACGCTCAAGACCTCGAGGTAAGGGTCGTCCTCGTCGTCCGGGTCCGGGAGGGACCGCCCACCCGTCGCCTGCCGGTCGATGCACTCCGCCTCGGTCGACGAGAGCACCTCGCAGATCACGTAATCCTTACGGTTTTTTCGGTATGATGGGGCACGGGGGACGGCACAATGTGTTAAAGGGGACGGGGGGTGCCGATCGATGCACTCCTCCTCATCCGTCGCGATCACGAGACCCACCTCCCGGGTCACGAAATGAATTCATCTCGTCGATAACAACGAGGGAGGGGCTGACAACCCAACTGGCCCGAGGAGCGAAGAGCGCCGCGCAGCCGTGGGGGCGTTGGGGGCACGCAAGCCGACGATCTACTGCATGAGTGCTTGATTCGGAGACCACCACAGCAACTGTTGCGCCCCCCACAGCTTTGCTCCTGTACGGACGCCTCCTTGCTTTCAACTGACTCGGCGGCGCCACGCTCGTCAGATGTGGAAGTGAAATTCAGGTCCGCTCCTACCGTGAGGGCTTGAGAAAGCGGAGGTCCTGTTGCTTTCATATACACAAGCGTTGAATCGACTATGCCGCGGCGCATCCGTCAGATCTGGCAGTGAAAACAGGGTCCTCGTCCTTATCTCAACAGCTTGAGATAGCGGAGGCCTCGATGCATTCATACGTAGATCTGTTAAATCGATTCGGCGGCTCAAAGCTTGTCGAATCTGGAAGTGAAATTCGGGTCCACGTATATCACAAGAGCTTGAGATATCGGAGGCGTCGTGATGTCCTGCATAAATCCGTTCAACTGATTATGTTGGCGCCACGCTTGTCAGATCTGGGAGTGAAATTGGGGCTTGGTCCGCGTTCATCTGGAGAGTTTACAAAAGCGGAGGTCTGCATCAATGCGTTCAATTGATTCTACGGCGCCACGCTCGTCAGATCTGGAAGTGAAAATCGGGCCCGCGTGTATCTAAAGCTTGAGAAAGCGGGGGGCTAGTTGCGTTTCATAAGAAGATCCGTTGAATTGATACAATTCTGCTAGCGCCACGCTCGTCAGACCTGATAAATGAAATTCTGGTCGGAGGTTTTGCCTGGACGGTTGCAACGTGCGAACAAACGACAGCAACAACGGCCCGGTAAATGCTAGGACTTGGCAACCAGCGCAGGCGCCAAGCGTACCAGGCTTGAGGCGGCAAACAAAGAGGACAGGGATATCTCGAGTACGGCTTTGTTTTTTTTGGGCCATCATATTGGGTGGAGACATACCTGGGCATCGCTCATGGTGAGTCCTCCCCAGCCGATCCCCAGCATCCCGGTGTCGCCGATGCCCTTCGCGCTGAGCGACATCGTCATGGTGTTGTCTTCAACCATCTGTTGTTATGGTCATCGTCGCCGTTATCGTTGCTGGTATCACCACTATCGACTTCGTGAGATTCGACAAACTCATCATCCAGGCTGTCGATTCACCCACCCCATTCAAAATAACGAGAAATATCGAGTATGCTATCTGTGACAAGAAACGTTTATCCACCGAATGCACTCCCTACCACATGAAAATTCACTCGCCCAAGTGGTGACGTGATTTCATGACCATCATGTACCACCAATCAACACGCAGGATAGGAGGTATTGGGGTGGGTGTGGGGCGTCGACGAGGTAAGGCGCTCTCGTTTTGATTCCCGCTTACATTAGTTCACGTCATATATAGGTGTACACGTGAGTAGGTCCGCGCCGCCGACCCCAGATGGCACAAGAGGCAACACCCACCAGCCACGCGCCCTTGCGTCAACATTTTTTTACCGACCGCAGCACTCCCGCTTGCTCGTGCCTGCCCAACGTGCTCTCTCTCTCTCTCTCTCTCTCTCTCTCTCTCTCTCTCTCTCTCTCTCTCTCTCTCTCTCCCCGCGCCCCCCTCTCTCGTCCAACCGCATCTTTCACTTCCATGCCTGCTTCAAAGAAGTACACATCCTCCAAGCGTTGTGCAAAGCGCAAGGCACACACTCACTCACACAAGGAGGCCCCCTCCTCCTCCCGAGGATACATGCAACAGAGGTATCGCTCTGAGCGCTCGAGCTGAGCGAGCTGGGCTTTCAAATGACCGATAAGTTGAAATATTCAAATAAGCATGAGTGCATACATACAAGTGTTCCGCACCGGAGTGGGCTCATAAGAGTAGAGAGTCACCAAGTGGGTGACGCAAGATGAACCATAAAAGGAGGCAGCAGCACCAACCCCCGGCTGAGTGCCAGCCTCGGTGCGACGTTTCCGGAGCTCAACAGCTCGCACAGCGGACCTGTTTCTGACTCCGACAGCCCAGCGAACTAAAACAGAAAAATCTCCAATTTTGCATACACAGCCACACAAGCATAATAGGTCTGGCTTGAATTTCATTTCACCTCCCAAGCGACCGAGTAGCTGTCCGAAAGGTCGGCCTCCGACACCCCGATCGACGAGCAGTCCGCGCCGCACACCTCCACGGCGGCTGCCACGAAGGCCGACAGCGGGATGTCGGCGGCACCGGTCGTCCGGTTGATCAGGTCCGAGATGGTGGTCAGGGAGGCGTCCTCGATGTCCCTAGAGTGGAGATGGTGGAACCGGTCGCCCTGGAAGGCTCTGCCAGATTGGTCGATTGATTGGCCAACCAGCGGGGGGGGGGGGGGGGGGTCGTTGCTGGTTGTTGTTGTCTTCACATGAGCAACCGTTCCGGTCTCCGCTCACTACCTTATATTGTCCGTACTTGGTCAGACTGGCTCCCGTGGTGTGTGGCTCGCGCGGGGCTTGGTGAAAAACACGCCCAGAAGAATACACGGCGGTGTCAGCAACAGCATCAATGGCAACACAGCAACATCATCCTCGACAGCAACAACCATCAAGGCTCAACAACGATGACGGCGACGGCGAAAAAGGAACCAGAAGCTCGAACCTCGACCTCGTGCAAAATATAGGGAGAAAAACGAAAAACATTTCACAATGCCTTCATACAAGACTCTATCGGAGCTTCCCTTCACTCCCCAACACCCTTCAAACAACGTCCCCTTTTACATGTCTGCCGGGCGGGTCGGCTCCTCTGCCCCGTGTGCCACGCCACCAAAACGCACCTTTTCATGGCCAATCGGGTAGCGCCGTCGACGCTTACCAACATCATCCCCCCCACGTGCGCGCACACAAACGCACGCGTCTTTTCATCGGCCAGCCGGTTAGCGTGGCCGATGCGAAATACCAGTATACATACCCACATACACACACACAAACACACACTCCCCCTCACGGGGTCCCAGACGGCCTTTAGAAGCATTTCCTGTTTTCAGCCGGTCTGAGACTGACGTCTTGTTCAGTGGTCAGCCGGTTAGGTAGCGCACTTCAACCACACGCACACCCAGCTGGCTAGCACGGCCGATAAATACACCCACCCACACACACACACACACACATGATGCTCCCTCACGGGGGCCCAGATCGTGGACTTTAGAAGCACATTGCGTTTTCAACCGCGCCGGGACTGACGTCTTTTCACTGGTCAGCCGGTTAGCGCGGTCGATGCTACTTCAAGATACAAACACAAACACACAGCCGGGGATAGCGCGGCCGACAAAAGATACACAAAACACAAACGAAAGATACACACACGTGCACACACCTGTACATCTGCTCAAGCCAGGCGGCGTGCAGGAGCTCCCCGAAGACGCCCCCGGAGCTCGCCATCGTCGGCTCGGCCAGGGCCCCCGTCACGGCGTCGAGGGTCGACACGTTGCCCCCGTACGCGGTCGAGAGGATGTCCGCCACCTCCTCGTCGGCGTCGGAGCCGGAAGATGACGTCGTGCTCGTCGTCGTCGTCGATGATGACGTCGACGACGACGACGTAGTGACGTCTGTGAAAGTGGTCGCCTCCGAGAGACCGAACGCCTGTGTGTGTGTGTGTGTGTGTTTTTAGTGTGTTGAATTTTGTTTTTCATCCCCGCGGTGGGATTTTGGTCGGAGAGGAAGATAGTGGGGGCGGACTAGCACAACAACCGCAGCCCAATACTCTCTCAATCCCCGTCCACTATCGCTCTCAAGGTGCTAAAAGTAAACGAAAAACGTTGCTGTTTTTTTTTTCCATGTCACACAGGGTAGCGGATCAACTTCAACAACAACAACAAGGATAACAACAACAACAACAACAAAAATCATTCTCTTGTCTCACCGCCCGAGCATCGTTGTAGGTCGGCAGCCCGTGGTCCCTCCCCCGCTGCACCGAGTCCACCGGGAGCTTGAACAGCGGAGACCCGTTCGAGACCGCCGCGGTGTAGTGAGTGTCGGCCGCATACACCGGGGACAACACCGCCCCTCGCAACACGTCCACAACCTGGAGAACAGAGAGCGGGAGAGAGAGAGAGAGAGGGAAGAGAGCGAGGGAGAGAGAGAGAGAGAGAGTGAGACAGATAGAGAGATAGAGAGAAGATGTTGGGAAAAACTGAGGTGCCAGGTACTTCGGCGGCGTTCGGTGATGCCCTTCCCCCCCGCTCGCTCACGCGGTCTCCAGATCATGGTCGCCTTTAGAAGCGATTTCCCTTTTGTTTCTACATATGTAGCCGCACTGACGAGAGACTGACGGATGTTCATTGGTCAGTGGGGTAGCGCGGTCGACGTCAATGAAAGAGCGAACCCGCATTCCCCTGCACATTCTACTTTAACGTCATTTATCCCGGACACTGCTGTAGATGGAAATGGAATCGTTATGATAAATGAAAAAACAAATTGCTCCCCTTCGGGAGTTAGGTGGCTTGCCTCCCGGGGGCGACGCATGAGGACATGGCCTATGGCATCGCGGTTGCATCGTTGAATCTCAACGTCATGGCGTTCGTGGTGAGTGCAGGTTTGGCGAACAGCCTGCAGAATTTTCCTGGAAATTGCAATCAACATGTGAGGGGTATTTTTGTTCCTCGCCGTGACTTTTCGGGTGTCCGTAAATGTGTGCATTTTTTTCAATGCTAGTGGCGTCTTTGTTGCACGCCCTACTGCTGCAATCCGCTGCGTTTGATTGCTCGCTCTTACGTATCCGTGTTGCCCATGGTCTGGGATTTCTGTGAGTTGCGAGGAACCAAAATGTCCTGTTAAATCAAGCACACGTTTCGTGTATTTCTTGCGGTGGCTTTCTTCGCGCGGAACACGTCCCCGGGGAATGGAGCCAATTTTTTCAATTTTGGGCGACTAGCACAAGTGCCACGGGTGGCTGGCGGTCCTCCGGCGTGCGCGGTAATGTACGATCTCCCTGCTTGCCCCTGAGAAGGAAGCGTGAGAAAAGATTCTCCTCAGCAAGCGGAATATGTCGCGAAGCACCAACCAGGCGAAATGTTACGTATGTATGTATGCATACGAAAAATATATGGTTATTTATATACACACGCACACACCGGACACATTTACACTGTTGAATAAGGGAAAAAATACGCAATTCGTACTCCCAACAAAGAAAAAGACGCGCACACACAAACACCGCACACACACACACCTTCACGTTGTTGAAGAAGGACACGAGGCCGTCGGCCCCGACGGCCGCCGCGAGCTCGATGTTGTCGTACCGCGTCGACTCGTAGCCCTCCCCGACCACCCGCACGGTGGACGGCAGGGCCGACTCGAAGGCCGCCACCCCCGCCGTCAAGGTGAAGGTATCGGCGCCCGGGTTAGTGTTCTCGTCGTAGTCCGTGGTCAGCCACAGGCCCCTCCTGCTCTGCCGCCCGGGCACCGGATGCTCGCGTCCGTCTTCATCTGAACGGTTGCGATTGAGGTCGTTGAAGGACATTCTTCGATTTCTTAGAAAAAACACATGCAGGCCATCACAGAAAAGACCAAATGCCCTTTGTTCGAGAAAAAATCCACTACTGTCTAAGAAGGAGATGTACTGAGCTCTTGACTGTTAGTGAGCGAAAGGACATTTGATATTTGTTTGGTTGGTTTCGTTTTTGGCCGCCCTGCGGAACGGAGTGTTGGCATGCAAGCAAGTGGGTCTGAAATGGTGTTTGAACGTGTCTAAGTTGCGTCTACAACCCCCACTCGTCTCCCGTCGTTCGTGGAGGCGTCGGTGGTACCGACAGTCTTCCCCGTCTAACAAACACTCGCGGTTGGTGCAACTAACAAAGTGGGGGAACGCGACCTGAAACCATACCCATTCCGACATTGATTTTCACTTGAAGAGGAGAGAGCAACAAGAACGACAGCGGCAACCCGATTTTCAAACACGTATGCACCCCTCCCTCCCGCCGCTCGTCCTGCACTCCACCTGGTGGTTCCCCTCTCATTTCCTGTAGCCCCCTCCTCCTAATTCTTCTCCGTTCTTCTCCCCTGCCACCGGCGCTACCATCACCGCTGTCTCCAGGTGGTGTTGTCGCTTCCGCAGGTGGTGTTGTCGCTTCCACCGGCGCTGTTGTCGCTTCCACTGGCGCTGTCGTCGCTTCCGCAGGTGGTGTTGTTGCTTCCGTTGGCGCTGTTGTTGCTTCCGTTGGCGCTGTTGTTGCTTCCGTTGGCGCTGTTGTTGCTTCCGTTGGCGCTGTTGTAGCTTCCGTTGGCGCTGTTGTTGCTTCCGTTGTCGTTGTTGTTGACGAAGACGACGACGACAACGACGACAACGACGACGACGACGACATGCTCTCGCCGAGGTCCTGGATGTTACCCCCCAGGAGGCGGATCAGAAAGTCGTTCTCCGTGACGTGCTGGAAAACGGCTATGGTCCATCCCCGGCATGCCTGGTAGATGTCCTGCGCGTTTGCAAAAAAAGGCGGGATTTCCCGTCAAACCGGAATTCCGGGTGCCAGCTCATACCCGCCAGTGGGGGGACGAAGACGACACCGGAACCGCAAATGGACGACATAATTAACGGGACACCCGATACTTCCGACCACCACTACCTCAGAGTCGTCTCAGGTAGCACGTACACTGGCACAGCAGTTCGCGCGACACCTCTCCATCGATTGATGTGGTCTCCAAAATATTCCGCATCACACGGGTGGATGCGTCCTTCACGGAAAGAGGCAGAAAAAAACCCGTACCACCGTACAACCGACGGTGGCACACTCACGGTTCATTCGAAACATTCAACCCCTCAAACTACAGCCGAAAAAACTAAAAAGATGGTACGCTTGGGTGAACCCTCCCGCCCCCGCCCCCGCCCCCCCCCCTCCCCCCCGGCACTCGAAGGATATTGCGTTAACTGACCTCGTCGCCCTCGAAGCCCTCGCTGGGCGCGATGTCCATGCAGCAGCGATTGTGCTCGAGGAGAAGCATGACGTGCAGGGCAAACGTGACCGGGAATTGGGCCGATCGCTGGTCCGCGATCTGGCGGAGGGCGTCGCCGTCGTTCGTCGGTTTTCGAGCACGTAGTAAGCGAAACAACAGCATCAACAGACACACAGACAGACACCAGAGGTAAGCTGCGCTAAACCACTAACCAATCATGAACAACAACAAAAAATCAGACACGTGAGGGAAAAGGCTTCCTTCGACGGCAATGTCACAAACCACGTAGAAAAAACAACAAACATTGCGGCATGTGCGAAACAACGGAAAAAAGAAATTCAACATACTTGCTGCTGTCTTCCCCGCTCTCGAGTACACAAACTGGGTTCAATACGCAGCAGCCAGACGGAAAACACACATCGACTACAGGGTAACACAGGCTACTAGCTGGGGGCGCGGGAGCGGGGGGGACACACACACAACACACGGAACATGTAACCTCTCAGCAACTATTCCGCGGGAAACGAACGACTCGACTGACCAGCCAAGTCCCGTCATCGTTCACGTAGGGCAAGCCGTTCTCCGTGAGGGCCATGAAACCGTCGCCGTCCGCGGACGACCGCAGGGCAGCGGCCTCGTCCTCGCTCCGCCCGTACACGAAGTCGAGGTCCACGAACGCGGTGGCGTAGTTGACGGGGCTCCTCGTCTCCTCGCCCAGGGCTCCGTCGTCGTCCGACAGCGCCGCGTCCGACCTGTAGAAAGGGATGGGGTCCGACTCCGCCCCCAGGGGACACCACACGTCGACCCCCCCGGCCCCGGTCCCTTCAGAAATTACGTGCGCGAGTGATTGAGCGAAAGAACATGAACGGGTTAGAAAACGGGCGAGAGGATCAAGCGCTGTATGGGTGCAAACAGAGGAACGTGGTATTTTGTTGTCGCGGGGGAAGACGCCCGCCCCCTGCGCCGCAAGCGTCAACTCCCCCCGAGCGTTCGACGTCATCTATCTCGACTTCGTAGGGATGCGAGGTCCACGGCCGAAAGCCTGCCGCGGGATACGCACCCCCCCCCCTGGTCCTGCCCTTCACAGCATGACTCCTTCCTACCGCTCTCACCGTCGTTGCACTCGATGTCCAAGGGTTCGGAAGAGTTGTCGCTGGTGAGAGACAGGTCGAAAGCCAGCAGCTGCCCCCAACCGATGAAGAGAGCGCTCATGGTGGACAGCGCCGGCGGCGACTCCAGAAACACGTCGGTCATCACCTCCCTGGACAACAAAGTGCAACACAACAAAAAATCACGTGAACAACAACAAAAAAAATCCAACACGCCACGCCAATGGAAAATTATATACTGCTGTGGGTGTTCGTCCCGTTTATTGTGATGCAGAACGTTCGGTGTGCGTGCTTTGCGTTCCAACCGGAGTCTCACACAGGAGGAAGGGCACACAAATTTTCACCATAATCCACTCTTTAACACAGAGTCTCCCTCTGCTCTCTGAATAAAAAAAAAAAAGGAGAACGGAAACTCAGAGGAGTGTTGTTGCTCGCGGAGGAACTGAGCACTTGCCTCGCAGTCGGTCTTGTCAGGTCCCCCGGTGGAGTGAAGTCCGCGTCGGCGTAGTAGGCCCCGGCCACCGAACGGAGCTGCCGCCGCAACGACACACACACGCGAAGAGTCACTACAAATTGGAGCGAAAAAGTGTGTACGTTTGTATGCCTTTCTTACTACTAGCATCGACGGTGATAACCGGCTGACAAATGAAAACACGTCAGCGCCGGAGGAAAAAAACAACGTCCCTGGTGTGCGTGCGTGTGCGGAGGTATGTTTTCAAACAACCACAACAACAAAAACAAAACACAGCATACAACCAAACCCACCTGCGTTGCCCCGACCGCTCCCCAGGACGGAAACGCCTCGTTGTTGCCGACCCCATCGAAGCTCCTGGGGGTGAACTCTTCCAGGTCCAAGTCGTCCGCCAGTACCGTCTGCCCCACTAGCAACGCAGAAGCGGCGACAGCGGCGGCGCCGCAGCAGCCGCAAAAGGAACGGAGAAGCGGGCGGCGGCGGCGGCGGCGGCGGCCGCGGAGAGGGGGGCGTCGCCGCCGCCGTGGTCCGCCGTCAGCGGCGCCGGAGGCGCCGGGTTCGTGTCTGCGAGCCGCCATGGCGGTGCGCTCTTGATTGAGCGGTTGGCCAGTCGATCCCTCAGCCCCTGCTGGTGATGGGAGCAAGAGGGGGTTAGCACGGGAGTAGGTGCGTGTACTTCGATAGCATCGTGCATGGCCGCTGTCTTCCTACCGTCCAGGGCACCTCGGCACCCGTATAGAGCGGGGATGGATTGCTGTAGCGTACTTTTTCGCCCAACGAGCAGCCCGGGCGAGAACGCTCGTGGGGTTCTTTCCTGAACGAACGACAATATAGCAGGTTGGCAGGGCCCACACTCCACTTTCGTACGAGGGCATCCCCGTACTCGATGGACGCTCCTTTCGGTTCTGCCAACGTGCTTGCCTATTGATCGTTCCTGTCTGCTTCGCGTTGTGTGGCCTCCCATCACCTCTTACGAATAGTCCCAACCATCGCCAAGCTGCTGTGTTTAACACGCCCAAGGCGTAACAAACACAAGGTAACACCCATATGTGCTTCCATTGCCCCCCTTCTTGAGGGCGGCCGTTTTCTCCCCCGGAAAATGCCCAGCCTTAAGCTGCGTGAGAGCTCCGTTCTCTTTTCGTCTTCGCGACAATGGAACGTCTTCGCACCCTTTGTCCGCCATGGCCCACGTCACCCTCAACGGTTGGCAAGCCCCGCCCCCCTACTCCAAGACTCTGTTTCAGCCTGTCTTCCTATAGCTATGTAGTCCATCAGGCAATGGCCTCCTTCTATTGGAAACCATGTGATGAGAGAGACTCGTACTAGCAAGAAAAGCGTGCAACGGCCTGTGACGTTCAAAACTGCATATTAATATTTACCAATCAAGAGATATAAAGTGCCATCTCGTAAGAACAGGCAGCATGCTGTTGTAGACTACATGTTCGCCGAGCGGCCGCCTCATAGTGCTCCCGTGCAACATACACGTTCGAGAAGAGAAAGAGGTGGCAGCAGTGAGGAAGTCACCTCGCGCTTGTGTCGATTTAATAATTCGCGACAGATTTTGGCCGCCTGACACAGAACGTCGGAGAGAACGGCTTTTCCCTTACTCACTGACAGCGTTGTGATCCCGTTGAAAGAAATCTACGTAAATCGGGTAAACACGGACCGCGTTGGCGTGATTGGGGTAGGCTGGTACTTGTGACATGTCCAACGTAGTGCATACGTCGACCTTTTTATTATGGATGGGTATGATCAAATAATGCACGCGAGAAATTCTGACATGACATCATGACATCCCCTCGTGATAAAAAGAGTTCAAGCCAGGACCAAGAGCAGTTGGATGTTGATATTTGGGGCTGCTCAGCCTGGGAACAGTTAAATGAAGTATGTACGTACGAAGCGCGTAAACAACAGCAGGTTGGTGTCTCGGTAGTGGGCCATTGGGCTAGGATGCCATCTGGGCGGGTACATGTCTTGGTAGAGAGACGTGGACGCCGACCACGCGCCCAGACTTCTAGTATCCCGCGATAGGACGGAACAGCAACGGTTGATACATTGCTATTTAGCGGCAACAAGTGGTGTTGACGCGTTCCCTCTCGATCAGCGTTGGCTCGGAGTGAGCCATAGAGAGCGGCTGACTGAAAGAGAAATAGGAGGCAAAAAGGAGGAATCGGACTGGAACGGAACAGCGCTGAACACAGCAGCTCCATACTGCAATCTCGTCACAACAATCCTCCCCTGATTCGGGCGGGTGCCAGGTGCAGTTGATTGCTCAACGACTGCTGTGCTGGTGATACCGGGAAAATTCATACCACAATTTTCTGGGGTCATGTATCCGAGTTCCCTCTTTTGAACTGTTGGAGGGGATGACAGGTACAAATATTAATAAATGTTGTGCTGCTTGTGGTAGAGAAGCGGTTCCGGGGGGATGGTCAGTAAACATTCCCGAATATTGCTACATCCCCGATTACCCGTTACAGCGTTGTACAATTGTAGTACATTGCCTTGACTGGAACATGCACACATACGGTCGGCACATGTATGTATGCACAGTCGTATCGGCGTTCATCATTGCAAGAGAACCAGTCCAGCCAGCGGCAATCGACATCTTTTGCAAATACCCCGCCACAGCAGTGCTTTTAGAGGGGCAGGCGAGGAGAAAAAAACATGTTGTTGCCATGTGTCGAGACATCGAGACCAACCCAAGATATTTAGATACATGTAGATGTACGATAGACTGCCTGCATCCGAAACATTTCAGATACAGCAGCAGTGCCTTCCGGACACACGCCTTGCCTAGCGGTGTACGCAAACGTCCTGATTTCAACGCCGGGCGTACGAGAGTACGAGAGACATACTCAAAGCACAAGAGGCGGGCGCAACTGGCATGCCAAAAGGCAACTGGTTCGGCAAAAAGAAGGGGCAGTCACCAACGGCAGGCGAACATTCGAGGTTGGTGACCAGAAACAAAAAAACGCGGGGCAATGTCACCATCTTCCGTCGGTCCGTGGGTGTCGCCAATAATCATCAAACCATCAGCCACGATCAAAGAGACCACGTGCTGTTGCCGTCGCAAGATCGCTCGAGAAACACGACGCTCAAGGCCAGCGGGGGGGACTTGATTCCCCGTGGGAACCACGTGCCGCTGTTATACATGAGTCGCGCGTGAGACAAAGCCAGCTGGTGATGTGTTGGCAACAGGTTTGGGAACCACATGGTTCGATCGATGTTCAGGGCCCGGTGTGTGCGAGGGTTGATGAATTAACTCGCTGTTTCCTTCCCTCTCTCCCCTCGGATCGCACAAACTGATGCACTTACCTTGTGTGGTTTGCAATGGCGTGCCTTTGGAGTTCGGCTCCGCCTGGCCTTTTTCGTGTCACACAAGCCACAGTTGGGCTTTTGAGGAAAGCGCGAACACAGGACACAGGCCAGGTTCACGTCGCCAGAAAAAAAAAAAAAAATGGTTTTCCTTCTGAAAAAAAATCGAGGAAAGTTTCCCGTGGTGGAAGGAGAGGAGGTGGGCGGCGCTGTGGTGCTGGTGCTGGTGCTGTTGCTGGTGCTGGTGCTGCTGTTGCTGCTCCTGCTGCTGCTGTTGCTGCTGTAGCAGCGACAAGAGTTCGCACGGATGAGTGAAGGTACAAATCTTATAATCTCAATCTTCCGGAAACCACCTGCCGCTCCAGTACGGAGCTGATGAACGTATGCATGCATACATGCACCAGTATCATCGTATGCATATACAGTGGGGGGCCCTCTATAGTGCCGGTACGTGCGCAGGGCGTTCACCGGCACTATAGCGGGCACCGGCACAACTGGGAATAGTGCCTCAATAGTGCCAAACGGCACTATTCGGGTGATCGATATCCCTCAGTAGTGCCGGTCTGGCACTACTGAGGCACTGCTGTTTGAGTTCATGGTGTATCGCTTACCATTTGCGAGGCCAACAGAGTAGCATGTGGATCGAGTGTGGTGAATATACTTTGTGGGCGGCAGGGGCAGCCTTTTCTGAGACAAATGTGGGTTCCACTCTGATAGCTGAGTTTGCCGCGAAACCATTCCCGCATGCACGCGCAGAATTCACCTTCGGAGCCAAACCCCGTGTACAGCTCCTGTCCGTGCAACTTAGTATACTTGAAAAAATATCACGTTCCTCGCTGCCTCCCTACGATGTTGCGTGATGAGACACGCCAACAAAACCAATAAACGCGCCAGCAACGAAGCGGACAAAAATAAAACAAAACAAAAAGAAAAAAACTGCGGTATAGCTGTCCCCCCCTCACTCATCAACAAACTCTCTCATGTCTGTCTGGCGCACGCCCTTAGCGGCATGCGCCGCGATCATCGCCATCTTCGCTTTCGATAGGTGGAACGCAGCGTCCCCGTTTCCACTCTCCCGCGCGGCCACCTCCAGGACGCCGAAGTGAGAAGACAGTTCACCGTAAGCCGGTGGGGCGCGGCGGCCGCCCCCCGTGTCCTCATGATCACTGTCCGCCTGCTTGTTTGTTTTGAAAAAAAAGCGGGTGCGAATATGTACACAACAGTGCTCTTTCAATTTCAAGGACAAATAATCCGGAAGGTCTATGAGTGTGGACATCGAGGACCTCAAAGGCCAAAGACATAACAAAAAAAGGAGGTGACATGAAAAAAAAAAACACCATATGATACATACGAAAAGACGAAAAGGGAAAGGCAAAGAAACAAGGAAGGGCAAAAAAAAAAAGGTACAGCAGTAGAAATCGGCGACATGAGGGCATTTTTGAAAAATGGCGGGGAAAAACAACGTTCGAGAGGAAATTGCCAGGCATGTCGTGTACTCTACCTACCTCCGGAAAGTCTCCTCTGCGTGCGGTTTTCTGGCTTCCGTCGCCTGCAGCTGCCTTAGCCTCCACTTCCTTCCGTTCAGCGTTCACCTTGCAGACCAGCCGTTCCGAGCACTTAAAGCGATCTGCTATCTGCTCATGAGAAATCTTGGCATCCAGCAGCTTGAGGACCTCAACCTTGTCAGCGTTGCTCAGCCGCGCGCGAGAAGCCTTCTTCCCCCCCCCTTTCTCTGTCGGACGTTTAGATGGTCCCGCCCCAGCATCAACCCCAGCTGCGGTCGCTTTGCGCTTGCCAGTCTTAGCAGCGACGCAAGAACTGCAGATGCGGGATGTTTCGAAGTCACCCTCCACGCTGCCGCAAGTGCCATGGAGCCGCCCGCCACATCCTCCCTTGCAGACGTGGCCATGAGGGGCCTTCGGCGTTCTGTTCTGTTGAAGGCACAGTTCACCTTCCGCACACGGCATGGTGCGCCTCTGCGTAGAGCTGTGTTGGACTGCAGCAGCACGGTGTCTGTATTTTGGGAGTGTGGTGGTGTGTGTGCGTGCGTGTGTGAACCGGCACTATTGCGGGCTGACGTGGTGCCCAACCGGCACTATACCAGGCCCGCCCTCAATAGTGCCGTTTGGCACTATTGAGGGCGCTTTCTGTGTGGAGAGATTTTACCGGCACTATACCGGCAGTTGGCACTATTCAACCGGCACTATAGAGGGCCCCCCACTGTACGACACAGCGTAACACACCCCCTGGACCGATTTTCAAAGCTGGGTTATCAACAGCAGAAAGAGTGGGGGGTGCCAAAAACGGCGGCGTTGAAGCTGCCTAATCGAGAGCTCTCCGAAAACGTATCGTTTCGATTATGCATCCTCCTTAACGTGGAGTAATCGAGCTTTAAAATCGGTCCAGGGGTGAGGTATCTCGTGTTGTTACGTTACTACTACTGCTGCATCTATGTACGTACCCAATACCGTAGTGTATGTACATGTAAGATTTGGTCACTTTTCATGCTTCGGCGTTTCTTTCTCTCGCGGCAGCGAGCCTTTTATCGCAATTCCTTCTCAGGGGCACGCAGGAGGCTCGTCGGTACATTAACCGCGCCCGGAGCTCGGTAGGCCTCCGTGGCGCGTGTGGTTGACGGCCAAAGTTGCGAAAACTGGCTCGAAACCCCGGGGACGCGTTCCGCGCTGACAAAGCCTGGCGAACCAATTCTGAAACCTATCAAACCCATCAAGTACGACGGTTTGAAATATTTGCCTCTTGCTTCTTATCCACTTTCATTCGTACATTCATTCATTCATTCTTACGATGATTCATGGCTGTGACTCTCTTCGTGTCATCGCATTTTGTCCAACAACAGCAGTACCTACGTTTACTTACACTTCGCAGCGGGCGAAGTTTAGACAAGTCTGAGAGCATGCATGCATCCAGCCGCAGTGTTGAACATGTCCCATTTGTGGTGTTGTTTCCGCTTCAAATGCGGTTCCAATCGGAAATCTGCCATCATCAATCAAAGACATCATGGAAGTCTGAGTTTTCGCTGCCAAAATATTGTCCACTCGAGCTGGCTCCAGTCAATGTCGAATATAACAACAACGTGTGGGATGTTTTGTGCGGAAATACAAGCGTTGTAAGACATACCTCTTCGGGCAATGCGTATGTGGTCTTGCGTCACCTGAGGGAGGGTAGACACCCACTTCCCGAAGGGAAACCTTGTATGACAGAAGATATCACACTCCCTGGCCCGGATTTTCCAAGGACTCGATTACTCCAACGGCAGAGAGAGTGGCCGTGCAGACAATCGCGGCGTTGGTACCGGCTGGTTGGTACCGCCTTATCCAGACTTTTCCTAAACGTATCGTTTGATTTATCCATCCTCTTCCGTCGTGGAGGAATCGAGCCTTGCAACGCGGCCCACATGGGGTGTGGTGGACGTCGTCGTCACCCGTGGCGGCACAGAATACCTACAGCAGACTAGTAGACTGCGGAGTGTGTACAGATATGTGCCAATACATCTATGTCTGGAGAGAGAGAACGACAAAACGTCCAAGCTGTTCGACTTGACAGGGCGCAAGCGATATGTACTCCTTGAAGGAAGTGGGCGCGACGTTCTTGCCACCGCTTTCTTGGATGGAAGCGATGGAAGCGCCTGACCGGGGACCGGGGACCAAACATCTCCGTGGGGTGCGAGGCTTTGGCGAGGCGAATAATCAATTGGAATGAAAAGCACTCCGACCGCCCAAGGCTGTGCGTAAACAACAAGTTTGACTGGACACCCGACATACTGGATGGACGACAAACTTTGCTTCCAAGTGATGCAAATAACTGAATGTCGTTGCGTTGGGGACAAGATATACGCTTCAGTACGTCATGAATTGCTGCTGAGAGAGCCTCCGCCCTAACCGATACCGGACTGTCGGTCCGTCTTGGGCTGCTTCGGGGGCCCCCGTCTTCGGGTATTGTTTTCCCCTTCCGGTGGTGGCTGGGTACACTGTACAGCACCTGCTGCTGAATCGTAATGCCGGGCACGTGCCGTGTCGTCGTTGTCCAGGCGCAATGTAAATAAATGCCGTACAGCAGTCGAGGGACCTTCGTAGTGAAGGTACGTGCACAGAACATTCACCGGTACTAAACTGGGCATCCGACGCTATTGAGGACGTGTTTAGGAAACATATATAGTTTGTGGTGTGGCGCTCACGCTTGCTTGCGGGGCCAACATAATACGAAATGGATCGACATTATTTATTGAATTTCTAGCGTGGGGGGGGGCAAACTTTCTCCACACTGTCGAACCCTCAAGAGTTTGTTGAACAATAAAATAATTGCATTTCGGGCTACAGTACCTCACTAGCATTATGCTTGAGTCGACGGCGAAAGTAAGACACGCGCCATGCACCCGATTAACCGGTGACGGAAAAACTGCTTGAAAAGCTCCCGTTCGTGCTAAGCGTTTCGGGTCTTCAGTAGCACGTGTACCCTATTTCTCTGTGGGGCCTGTCTTCTGCCTGTTCGTGTGTGTGTGTGTTTTTTTCCAAGTACCATTTATTCGATATACTCGTAGCATAGCATGGGGGTGGTATATTGCGTATACATATGCGGGAATTGCAGTGACGAACTGCGGAGGAACAGGAAGCTTCTTTGTGTTTTCCTTGGGAGTATGATAGATTGGTGGAGATTCATGGACATTCGTTCTGGGTATTAAAGCGTTATGCATGACTTGATGCCGTGATGGAATGACGAGCTCAATCACGCCCCCGATGAATACAACACGTTTTTCAACACGTCTACACGTCTTTACCTACCCTTACGGCCCGTCATGGCCGAGCTGCTCTACGCTCCCATCACACACAACTGAGCCACCCGAATTATCGATTACGCTAGCGTACGACACGTCGTCTACGAGATTCGGGTCGAGCTTAGTTTGGAGTATCGCTTTGCGGCGATCAGCAGCAGCCACCGATGAGCGACACCGAGCAAGATCGAGTGAGCGCCCGACTAGCAGAGGAGGACGCCCGGATCAACGACTTGGTCAACCAGAGGGTAGAAGCAAGACTGGCCGAGATTTCGAGGCAACGAGCCGAGGAGCGGAGGACAGATGACGTCCGGACCGGAAGAGAGCACGAGGATCGCCACCAGCAACACGCGGGGCGGCCATCGGCCAACCCGACGACCGACGAAATCGCCCGCACACTCGCCGACGCCCTCACCGGTCGACTTCACGTCTCATCAGGGGACATGGGTAGAGTACCCATTAACGCAGCGACGGTTAGAATGACTGAGACTAAGCGCCTAGCGCCTTGGGATGGTGTATTTAAGCAAGGGGAGGATGAGCAGGCTAAGTTTTTGATTTTTCGACGAACATGGTAGCTATGTTTGCCCAGGAAGGAGTGCGTGACGTGGTGCTGACTGAAGAAAAGATTCCAGTCGGAAAAGAAGGCGTGAGCATGGAAGAGATGCGTAGGGTGCATTCGAGTGAAAGAGTAGAAAAGGCAATAACGGTGTGGAACCTGCTGATCACGACTGTGACATACATGCCAATCCTGACCCAGATCATCGCCGATGGTAGTCCAAGTGGAGGTTGGAAGATATTCCTTGACTATTACGAGCCGCGTGCAAGGGCCGAAAAAGAAAGGCTGTCATTTCAATATCACGCTCTTGAGATGAAAGTAGGAGAGACCCCGCAAGAATACTTTGGGAGATTTGCTGTTTTGCGCAGTAGGCTAGCCTCCGTCATGGCCGAGCTGCTCTACGCTCCCATCACACACAACTGAGCCACCCGAATTATCGATTAGCATTGACCGCGCTAACCGGCTGGCCAAAGAAAAGACGTCAGTCTCAGTGCGGTTGATAACACAAACACTTATAAATGCCATTAACTGGGACCCCGCGATGGGGCGGCATGGGGGAGGCTAAGCTATTCTCCGGATTAAAGACAGAAATGGCAGCAACAGAGGAAAGCTGCACGTATCTACCAAGGCTGCTACCTTGCACTCCAGTTCGTTTTGGAGTGCTTCCACCATCCTCCTTGTTTTCGCTACCGCCACTCTCATCATCATTATTACAGCTATTTCTCGGCAGTTCTTCTCTGCCCCTGTACCGTCTGTTGTGAGGAAGGTCCTCTTGCTCGAAGCTCTTGCTCTCTTCCACTCCATGATTCCCTCCTCGATTGCTGTCTTGGTTATTCTCTTGTCCTCCCGTTCCCTCTCCTCCTCCTTCATCGCTACCAAATGATGTCCCCTCATTGCCATCATATTCTACCTGCACTAGCTACTGAGTTTACGACAGAGCAGCAGCAGCAACAACACCACCAACAACAACCGCATCAGCAACGACAACAGCGAAATCGGTGTTGTCAACACTCCTAACAGCAACAACGCGAACGAGGACGACACCAGAAACATCACCATCAGCACGAACACCGCCGCCAACAACACCAACAACACCAACAACACGGACAACCACCATGGACCCTCGCCAGAAACCTTCTTCTCTTACCGTCAGAATAACAACAACAACACCACCGACAACAGCACCACCAACAACATCAACGACAACACCGACCCTTACCGAAGATCTTCTTTCTTCTCTCACCGTCAGGGTATTCGCCGCGGCTATCTCGGCCAACAAGGTCCGCCAACGAAATACGCCATCGACCAATGTTCTGGAAGATTATCTCCACCCCTCGCCCCAAGTTGGTGGCGTTCTGAAGGTTCGCGGAAAATCTCGGACCCTCCGAATCAACGTCGCCGCCTCCTGGTGCTTGCCCTCCAGGAGCAGCTCTTCCAACTGCAGGAAATCAGAGAGAGAATAGAAAACGTGAGTGTTGCTGCTCCCTGGTGCTTTCGCTTCCGTGACAGCTCTGCCAACTTGCAGGACACGTCATCAGAAAGAGAACGTGCATGTCGTTGCTTCATTGTGATTTTGCTCCAGCTACAGCTCTTCCAACTGTCGGAAACGTCGCTTCAGGACGAGAATAGAAACGTCTCAGAAAAGAGAACAGCAACGTGCAATGTTGCTGCTTTTGTGGTGTTCTCGCTTCGGGTGCAGCTCGTCCCATCTGCAGGAAACGTTGTCATCAGAAAGAGAATAGAAAACGTGCGTGTCGCTGCTTTTCTGGTGCTCTTGCTTCGCGAACAGCTCTTCCAACTGAAGGGAACGCCATCAGGAAGAGGTTAGAAACGTGCATGTCGCTGCTTTCTGGTGCTTTCGCTTCGTCAACAGTTCTTCCAACTGCAGGAAACGTCGTCATCAGAAAGCGAATAGAAAACGTGCAACGTCGTGGATTCCTGGTGCTTAGCGCTAGCAACAGCTCTTCCAGCTCTTTCAACTACAGAATGTGTTGTGTGTTTTCGCCCTATTTGTTATGGCGACAGTCAGTCCCATCATGGTGAACGTGTTTCAGTGTATGTAGAGTACCACACTTTGCAGTGCATTTTTTCGTACAACTACAATCATCCAGGGTAAGTAAACACGGGGGCTTTTTTATTCTGTTTCGTTGATTTTCGTGCCCCGCCTTCCTCCTGCGGTGCGTGCTGTATTTCTATTTTGTTATCGCGAGAAGGGTCCGGCCGCCCCTTTCCACGTCAACGGTGCTAACGTCGAAGTTTGGTACTCACGAGCTTTTCAGCCTTTTCCGCATTCACCCGCAAATTTGAAAAAAAAATCACCCCATGGGGATTCGAAACTCACGACTTTGCCACTATAGGCACGGTTTCGAGGTTACCACTACCACCGGGGCGACCGGTCAAAGGGTAAGCAAAAAGAGAATAGAAACGTACCCATGTTACATGTCAGGTCAACACTACCGAGATTGCGCTCAACGCTGGGCAATAAAAAAAAAAAAAGGGGACAAAAAAATAACACAATGCATGAATATCTACGGCAGCAGACAAGGTGTACATACCGAATGCATACGTGACATAAGATATTACACCCCGTGGACCGATTTTCAAAGCTCGAGTACTTTCACGACGAAGAGAACGCATGCTTCAAACGATACTTTTTCGGAAAGCTCTCGACGAGACGGTCCCAACGCCGCCTTTTCCGACGCTGCAACTCGAACGCTGTGGAGAAATCGAGCTTTGAAAGTCGGTCCCGGGGATGTGGTATCTTGCGTCATGTCACCTGCGGTATGTTTCGCTGCTGCTGTTGACGACATTACCGGGAGAGATTCTTCTCTGTCCGTGTGGTTGTACGACGTAGGGTGTCTCAGCGACTGGTCTATTGCTGTCGTTGTGCCTTCCTCCTTCCCCCCCCCTCTCTCTCGCTTCGCACCTGTGTGCTACGTGACTAGCCTGGCGTTGCTCGAAGAAGCCCTTGGCACACTCTCCCGCATCGAACTGAGAGTCTTCGAAGAAGCTCCCCTATGTACCTGCTACATGTAAAAGTCCGGATCGGCCACGGACTTGGGCCAACGCTTGTCTTTTCTGCCGGACGACATCTCCTTCTTTTTGCACCTGCTGCTGCTGTCTTCGTTTCAAAACGAGGACGAGTGTGTGCTTCGTGCAACAACTACCGCATCGGCGGGGACGGTGAACGCTACAAGGCAAAGCAGCAGGGCACAGCAAGGGCAAGGTGATGCAGGCCCCTCATTTGAGATCACGCAAGTACGTGGGGACGGGCATCTCATTGGTTCCCCCGAGCGGGAACAAAAAAACCCGTTCAGCCACGCCGGGACCACGCGACATGCATTTTGCGGCATCTGCTGGCACACACACGAGAGACGACGGAGGGAGCGGGCAGGTGCGACGAGTAAAATTTGCTGGATCGAAACGCCGTTCTGAATATTGCACCAGCATGTTGATATGATGCGGCGAACTACCCTGCTGCCGTGGTACTTATAGCGTTCAGCAGCTGTAGAGCAGTAGTTTGTAGTACGTGCTGGGTCCGCTCGGATGAACCATTCTTACCACCTGCGAATGGACGCAGAACGCAAACGACCGGTCGGGCATTGGTCAAGTCTAGAAGAGATTACCTTTGGGCTGACATCGTGCACGGAGTATGCAGCTATGCACATAGACTAAGGATCTCTTGGGCTTGCTCTCTCACGCTCCAGCCTAAGAGAACTCGACTTTTTTGCTCTTCTGACTTGCTTCTGTCAAGAAGGCCACAGCGTGCAAGAGGATACACGTTCAGCAGTAGTAGGACTGCTGTAGACGAGACGTATTCCTCTTGGAACCTGCTACAGCAGTAGTCTATCCACCAACCAATGGTGCGGCTATAGGTTACGATAGTCCAAACCGACGAGAGGTTTGACTCTCAATCGTCGAGAGACTTGCGTACACACCGCCCGTGGTAATTGAAGGATCTCGATCACCTCTTCTACCACGATGCAGTACTGCTGTAGTTGGTGAACGGCACAACTTTTGTTCATCCGTGCTTCAAGTATCGGATTAATTTTTTCGTTGCCCTTTGTTGAGAATACAACCAACCCATGAGTTCTTCCACAGGACCACAGCGCCCTGAAACCCATTACGCCATCGGATATGTTAGACTACTACAGCAGTAGTAGAGAAATCCTGGAAACAACCCATTGTCATGCAGCAGTGCAGTGCGAACCAGGTGCGGGATTCTTGAGAGTCAGAAAAATTACCCCGAAGAAAGTTCTGTTGGCTTGTGTGAAGAGGAGGTGAAATCCTGTGTATGTGGGTAATATTGGAGCTAACCCAGCTAATGAAAGACAACTCTGATACCGATCAAGATGGAAGCTCTTCTGGAACATCGCGTTCCACCCCGGGATGTCCTAGACCTGAACGGTCCCCACTCATAATTCCGAATGTTGGCAGTGATGGACAGACTCGTCGTGCACGCACAGGGCCTACTGCAATCTGTGGAAGTGTAGCGTGGCAATCAACAAAATCCACCGTCAACCAATCTCGGTCGCCGTCTCGGGACCGTCCGTTTCGCCCAGTCATCAACCACGAGAAGAGCGAATTCGAAGCATCTTACAGCACCGACATGTGTCGTGACAGCGCTTGGGTAGACGTGTAGGTAGATCCCTGTTGTCCACAAGAAAATGAATCGAACATCACTGCAAGTGCCACAACGATAAGAAAGACGATGCGAGCGAACAATTGCTCGACCGGCCATCTCAATCGAACGCACGCCCACACGCTTTACCTTTCTTAGAAAATATACCTACAATACAAAGTCTCCCCGTTCGAGATTAGACCACAGCAGTCAAAGGGGATGCCTTGCTTACCACAATATAATTCCTCGCAATATCATCGTGTGTGATCAAACATGGATTTTCCGAGGACACACCCAACAGCGCTCTCACCCACCAGCTCACTCACGCTCTCCTTCTTCTTGCCCTGTCTGCACTCCCGAGCAGCATAAGATATCTTCAAGCCTCCAATAACGCACTGCTGTGTGTGAGTGCTATCCCGTGTCTATAATTAATAAGTCATGGTAGCATGTAACCTTGTGGAGCGACCGACCGACAACCACCGTCATGCATCCGGAAGACATGACCGTAGGGAGAATTTCCGGGGTAATCGGCACACACAAACGTATGGTGAAACTATTGTTACCACCGCCTTTACAACAAACGGTATACTGTAGGACATGGATGAACGAAAGCCAATGAACGACGAACTACGTGAAACACAGCTAGCATACGGTTGACCCCTGTAACCATCTCCCGTGCGCGGGGCGTGTGATGGTCGTTAACCTTTCAGGCATCAGCTTTCCGACAATCTCACGGTCAAGATGCATCTTCTTTCGCTGGCGCTACCGACGCTCTTCCTCGGGGTCGTCATTGGTGAGAGAGAGGTGTACCCTCAGAACGAGCGGACGGATATCGAAGACACCACCTGAAGAAATATACTCTTCAGCGCGCACGAGGCGAATTTCATAGTTCTTTGATTGTGCGTGAGACCTCCGGACAACTAACGCGCGCATGTTGCTCGACAAGTATCGGGCAGTAGCAGCGAAGCTGGTTTCTCACCGCTCGTAGAAGCGGCTTCGATGCTCTCATGAGGCTGAGGGGGCTGGATCGTGCTCTACCCGCAGCTGAGACCATGTCCGATACATGAGTCAAAATTCGCTTCACAACCGTGGTGATCGTTGTGGTCCCTCAACCACCTTGCGCTAACTACGGTAGTAAGTAGCCAGAGGCCTGGGGTTCCAAATACTATTCAGTTCGTGAGGGGTTAGAGCATCACGGGGGATCACCTGCCATGTTAGCAAACGTTGCTCGCGTCCGTTGTTCTTCATAAGTACAACCGCAGCCCTCACACATGAAACGCACCTATATTCCTCCTGCGAGATTGGTACTTAGAACGCTTCATCCAACTCCATTCTTCTCAGTTACTGAGATATCCGCATCCTCTGACTGATGTCGGAGCAGGTCAGTCCGACAATGCAGCTTACCTCGGGTGCTTCTCGGACCCTGCTGACAGCCGCGTCTTCGAGTTCGGGTCTTCTGACTCTGCAATGACCGCAGAGGTTAGTGACCAATCGATGGCCGGAAGCGCGCGTGGATGTGTGTGTGTGTGTATTTGGTTGCTCGCTGTTATGAACGAGTGGTTTGTGCAAGATGTACTGTACTCCATGCGTTGCCTGGTGATTGTGGCAGTCGTTGTTGTTGCTGATGTCGGGTGCCAATTGCACGGGAGCTGTCCACGTTGGGAAACTCGAATTGTGACCCACCACACCCAGCGTTTCCATCTTTGATACTGTCTACGCACATGCCCGTCACTGCTCCCCCCGCCGCCCAATGCGGACTATGGACCGCTTTGCTTGCATGTGCACACGACCATTCGACTACAGGTCTGCTCCGGTCTCTGCTCCGGCTCGACCTTCTATGGCACCCAGTACGGGACTGAGGTAAGAATCCCTAGATTTGGAAAGAACGGGGTCGAACACCGGTCAACAGAGTTTAGGACGTGACGTACAAGATCGTGATAAACAAACATTGGATGGTGCCGATATTTGGGATGGGTTTACGGGACTACGTGAAGAGTTCCAGTTTTTGGTGATTGTGTCTTCTCTGCTGTACCTGCGATCAACGAATAAACGGTTTCATCCTTTCCACCATTCTACTTTGGCTTTCTCACAGTCAAAGGTATCGAGTTTGATAGATCCCAGCAATATTCTTTTCTAGACTATTGTTCGCCTCTTGAAACACTAACCTTGTTTCCGGGGGCTAGTCTACACATCATTGGGCGAATGTGTCTCTCTTTAGACTAACGACACAACAGAGTGAAATAGACGAAAACAAGCGATCGGTGGAACGGTTGCCTCAGGATCGGAGCGCGTCTACATCGTGATTTCGTATCAGTTCACGGTTTTCTCAGCCGTTGCCTGGCGGTATCGCCGCCGTTCTCATCCCATTCTTCGTCGTAGAACAAAATCGCTCTATTCTCACGACCCCGGCACAAGAACCCTTGACGTCCTCCCTTCCGCGCCATGAATTTGCGCCCCAAATGCCCGCCGTTCATTTCGAAACAGTGCTGGTGCGGCAACAACGAGGACTACGACGCCAACGGTGACGGCATCTGTGACATATCCTGCTCCGGCGACCCTGATGAGTTCTGTGGAGGATTCTACAGCATGACTGTCTACGAGAACCCAGAGTCCGACTACCTTGGATGTTACTCCGACCCGGCCGACGACCGCGTTTTCGAGCGAATAACTTCCTCTGACGACATGACTGCGGAGGTGAGTGAGCAAGAGAGCAAGTCAGATTTGGTACGTCTCGGGTCGTGGGTTGAGATGTGAATGATGCCATCTTGTGTCGACAGTCACATGGCTTGTACTCCCGTGTGCGGTACTGCTGCTGCTTATTCGTGGTTTGTCCTCGCACCGCCATTGTCACCAGCGTTCGAAATAGTCGTTAGATTAACCAGCCACCGCCATCCAACAAGCGTCCACGTTGTTCCCTATTCACTTGTCTCTCTACCTTCGACCGACCATCGAATCCCCTCCAACACGAAATAACGGCCACAGGTCTGCTTGGGGCACTGCGGCGCGTACCAATACTACGGAACTCAGTATTCAACAGAGGTGAGTCTTCTAGCATATATACACATGCGCATAGAGCCCGTGGTATTTGTAGATGGCGGGGTGCCAAAGTTGCGCTAACGTGTTGTCGGAACGGCATAATCGCGGGCGTTGCAATGGACGTTCAACATTCTCGCCGGTGGCCTCATTTCGGTGCATTTCCAAGTCACCAACGTGCCTCGGATCATGCCGGTCTGGTACGTCATCATTCGCTGCTCGGTGCAGCGGCTGGAAATCCATTCATCCCTCATGGGAGTCGTGGCTTGTGCGCAAGCGGTCTGCCACGTATTCTGAAGCCCGATAGCGATTCAGTTTCTGTCAGGATTTTGACACCACTTTTTCCGACCCCACTGAAAAAGTGACCCCACTCTCCGCATTTCACTTCGTTTCAGAGTAGGCGATCTCCGGTCTCCTCTATAATAGCAAGTTGTTTTTCTTCGGTTGACGTTTCTCGAGATTCCGTTTACAGATTTTCGTGTGGGTTGGAAGAGGTGTCCCTCCTGGCCTCTTTCCGCCCCTCCTTCCAAGTTTGATGCACAGGCTTGGGTCAGTTTTTCAGAACGCGCCCGTTGTTGTAAATATGTCTTAATTCGTAAATCTCCCCCGTGCGAATGAATGCGAACAACCGAACCCTCCCTCTCCTCTTTTTTTTGCCCCCACTGGTCGGAACTACCGCCACACCTACGACGGGAAGGATGCACGTCCACGGCTGGTTGAGAACATGCAGGAAGCGGACAGAAGTTTGTTTGTTTCTCGAGATCATGGTCTGACTCATTATGCCTGCTTGTTTGCACGCCAGATCTTCCCGTCTCCGGCTCTGCTGCTACTGTGATCACCTCTCCCCGACGACGCCACCGTACCTTCCGTACGTTACGGCGCTAGCTCTGCATGCCAATTGGTCTGACGATGAACTCACCCCTGCCGTCTCGGTGATGTTACCCCCGTCTCTCTATACTGCCGAAAACAACAGTGCTGGTGCGGCAACAACGCCAACTACGGCGCCAACGGTGACGGTGTCTGTGACATGTCCTGCTCCGGCAACTCCGGCGAGGTCTGCGGCGGCTCCTACAGCATGAGCGTCTACGAGAACCCCGACTACGTGTTTTCTTCGGAGAACAACTACCGTGGCTGCTACTCCGACCCAGCCGACTGGCGCGATTGGGTGACACGCGGTTTCGTGCAGAGCGATTCCTCTAGCGCCATGACCACAGAGGTGAGAGGGAGAAGAGCGAGAGAGGCGTGAATAGCGCTGGTTTTCTAGCTTTGGCTACGTGAATATTCATCTCGGGCATTCTCTTCAAGTTGCTGGATGGCATGCATGCTGTTTGCACAGGATTTAGCCGGTGTGCTGCACGCTTTCTGCTTTCCGATGCCGATCACGTCATGTCATTGCCAGTGAATTGTCAAGAGGCTCCTCGAAGTCGACACGAACACCATCTCGCCGTTAGTTGAACCGGTGCTCCTATACTCTCTCTCAGTTGGCGAGCCCCTAACTACTCTTCCCCCCTCGTCCCGATGATCGATCACTGCGGTGGACGGACACATTCCCGATTGACCACAGCTCTGTGCATCACAATGCAGCGACTCGGCCTTCTACGGAACGCAGTACTCCAATGAGGTGAGGCCGTTGTGACAGTCCCATCCAGTCTCAGAACCATACCATTCGAATGAGTTCGGGTCTGTCTGTTGTGATCCTAAGGCGTTCAGACACTCATCGCCGCGAGGTATCGTGTTGGTTCGGAGTACCCCATGGTAGTTTGTATCGTGGCCATTGATCGCCCATTTAGCCGCCGTTTGATGCACCCAGTCACCGAATGGTGCTTTAAAACATGGTTGGTTGGGCACGGAGGGACGACACCGACGTTGGCAAGGACCGGCTCCACATTGTGCGAACCACTCTAATGTACCCATTGACCCGACGAACCCCCCTGTCCTCTGATTGCACCGCACCCTTATAACGCCTCGCGGTATCTACCATCCCTGCGAAAACAGTGCTGGTGCGGTGACTACAATGCCCAATACTCCTCCCACGGCGAAGGAGTCTGTGACATGCCCTGCTCGGGTGACCCCGATGAAACCTGTGGGGGGTACTACAGCATGGATGTGTACGCCAGTGACCCCGCGTACATTGGATGCGCCCAAGACTCCATGGACCGAATGTTCGACACGCAATTCATTTCTGACGACATGACCGCTGAGGTGAGCAGCAATTCTCAAACCAAACCCCTTGGGCTGGTGGTTTTTCGCAATGTTCGTTTTCGCCAACATGTTCACCTTTTTGGAAGAATTCGGTTTCGTTTGAAATGGCCACCCTGCCTTGCTGCCGTGGGTGGTGGTGTTGTCATTGTTGTTGTTGTTGTTGTTGTTGTTGTTGTTTTGCCCGATATCGACATCATGTTGTGTTGGCACAGGAAGGGTCAGCCACGGTCGCCATGTCGAATGATACAAAACCCGCTACCAACACAACCTTCTCCTCCATGTATCAATCTTGCTTTACATTATGATCCTGGCTATGTCTGACAATCCATACCCGGACAATCAACCAGTATCGTGCACACTAAACCTAACCCTAAAAACCTAACGCTACATGACCCAACGACCAGACCTGCGCCGGCCTATGCAGCGGACTGTCGGGCTACTATGGAACCCAGTATTCTGAAGAGGTAAGACTTCTTGAATGCATCTCCAAAGAGTGTAGTCGTGCTCTGTGGGACAGTGTCGTACAAGGAGCTTACCAAACACATCTGGGTTATTTAGTGAAACACCGAACATCATGCATGTCATCCTCAACATGATGAGATCTGTGCCCTCCGGCTGTGCACGCCCCCGCACGTACTAATGCCGCCGCATGAAACAGTGCTGGTGCGGCGAAATCGACGGCGACCTCAATCCTGGCGTCTGCGGCACGCCCTGCACGGGCGACTCTGACGAGATTTGCGGTGGCTCGTACGCTATGTCGGTGTACCAATACATCTAACGTGCCGTGCACATCGTTGCTTCGTCAAGGTAAGCAGCCGCCACCTCTTTTTCCATTCGGAAATGGACTTGACGGGCAAGAGGCCATCACTTACTCCAAGTATGGAAGATGACAGGGCAGAGCAGCGTCCAACATGCGGAGTCGTACGTTCTTCTTCGTCTCAAGCAGGACACGTGGTCAGCGGTCCACGCGACTCGCGAAAACCCACTCTTGAGTACATACCCCTCCGCGAGTGTGCGTGGGGCGCTCGATTGGGTACACGTGTAGAGCTTTGGTTTGTTAGAGACCTTGAGTGGGAAGAAAGCAATAGTTGAGGAACCGGAAACTCCACACGGATCTAGCACGGCAGCTTGTTCGTCTATGAGGCGACAATCTGGTCGCAGGACAATATAATGGCGATACTTTCTCAAGTCCTTTTCCCCGGGCGACATTCCGTCGACGTTTCCCTAGGGGTAACGCGTGTGCCGTGAACCTCTCCGGTTTGCCAGTCAACATTACGAAGAAATCGGCCGTGACGTGCTGGTGAACGTACGTCCAACATATTGGGCGAAGTGGCTTACGCTGTGCAGCGAAGGACGCTGTCCTCTCGAGCTGCTGGCGTTGTTCATGCGAGGTGTAGGTAGGGTAAACACAGAGTGATTTATTATCCACACTCAGACGCCCAAGCTGTCTTCACCTGACGGTTACAGACTTGGAAACACGCCTTCAGAATACTGCACAGAACCCATGCAGTAGAACCAGTCGTTCTTGTACACAAATACTCCAACACAACACACAACTCTGGTGTTGGGGGATAGTGCCGTGACTATGGCAGCATTGCTGCGGTGGCCTCTATGACAGTGGTGTTGCGAATACCGCCGCTTTCTCAGGTGTGGCCTGTTCACGTGTTCGCTATCCCTTGATGCTGCCATGTGGACCATCTCTGTTTCGGCAGACACGTCGCCGACACAACACGAGCGAAGCGGTATTCAGTCCGTGTACGTCATTCGACATTTACAAGGACTATGAGTGCACTGCACCAGTGGAGGCGGGGGGACAAGTTTCCAAGCCATATCTGCAATGTACGTCGGGTCTTCGTTCGAAGAAATATCCAACGCAAACGCGGAGGCGGGAGTGATTGGATAGTCTACACTTTGAACAGTGCCGTTGCTTTTGTTGAAAGTTCGGTTGTTCCTATGTAAATGTAGTGGGCTCGGGATAAGAGAAGGACGGATGAAGTTAGATAGACAGTACAGTAGGCCACATAAACAGAAGTTGGAAGCTGCGTGATAGACTGAGAGGGAGAATAAACACCATGAGGAGGACACAACATGATAGACTATTGAGTGGACGTGTACATGGCTGTTGGATGTACTCACAGCATCAACAGATTATTGCGAGCAAGAATTTCCCGAGCAGATGGAGCGGGGAGTTTGGGGGTTCAATGGTTGCTATGGATTAGATTTGGTGGTACCAACTTTATCACATATTGCAGGTTTGAGGGTATGGGTGTCTACAACGGAATTTGTGTGCGTGGCTTGTGGTTCCTCACTTCCTTTTTCTGTGTATAATCAAGTCCTTTTTCCGGCTCTCACGCCAACCCCGGCTTCCACGCCCATACTCCGGCTATCACGCCAACCCGGCTTCCACGCCTTCAGGACTCCCACGTCCCTACATATACCTTTACATCAGGGCCACCACGCCACCCGGCTTCCACGCCACAACTATATTATACACGAGCTTCCACGCTCCACCACGTAGAAGGGCTTTCACGCCCGCGGATAGTTTCTACATTTTGACCGTTGGCAGTACCCAGCTGCTGGCACCTTTTGTTTCCCACTACGGGACCCCGCGCCGAGGCACCCACGCACAAAGCTACTCAACAATGGCAGAGGCAGGGGGCAACAGCGTGTAGAAATACTGAGGATTCGGACTGTGATTGGCAGAGGCTTTCCCAATCGCCACTCTACTTGTTCGTGCCGGTCAGGTTGTCACCGAGCGCCACCAGCAGGGGTATCTCGCATTTTGGCTGTACCTGGCCCGGCTTTCATGTTGAGAGTGTAGACAACGTGTCAAACGTGTATGTTCGGATTTTGGAGTTGGGCCTACGCAGCTCCTATACAGTCGTCTGTACGGGTGTAGGTGACAGTTGGAGTTGCGGTAGCGTCGAGTACGCGGGCAGGTGGAAACTGGGAGCAGGAGAGATCTCCAGGCTATCCGAGCTACTGCTGCTCCTTTTGCTGCAGGCGGAGGTTCATCGAGTTTTCCATCGGGTGGGGACTGATACTGTAGTGTTGCGCGTTTTGAAGCTGGCGATACAACATCGCTTCGCCTAGTATGTGGTGTCCCGTTGCCATCGGGCGCTGCAAACGCGGAATTTGAGTTGACCGTAACGTTAGAAGTTATTAGTCGTTACCCGTGCTGCAGGTGTGAGGACGAGGCGGAACAAACTCGGTGCGATAGCATTCACTGGCGACGCCATGAACAAACTCCCGTAGATGGGCGAATCGCGTTGTAAGTTTTAACGCGGTGTCGCTCGCTAACCCTAAGTGATATCATGTGTCGGGGTTTGGCCGTGCCCAACTTACTTAACCAATGCTTTTCATCTCTGTGTGTGACATGACGCAAAGAAGCATGGTCGATCATGTGAGTTGCTGCCAACGGGCATGAGGCCACGGGCAAGAAATTAAGGCAAAGAACACAACAGCCGAGTATCCTCTGGACGTGGCAAGGCTTTTACGTCTGCAGACGGTCTATCGGACAAAAGGTGTTACATAGTTTCTCTTCCCGCCTAAAGTACACCAATGCAGATAGATGATGTTTCGTGATATCGCTGTGATTTTATCAATGGTGGTCCCAAAGCTGACCTGCAGAAGGGGCTTTTCCACAAACCACCGCGTTAAATCAACACTAGCAACGAGCAATGCCGCAACATCACGCGAAAGGCGCTCCTCTCTTTCAAAGCTTGGCCTACCGTTTCTATGTCCATGGGTGCCATAGCAACCTCAAGGTCTCTCAACCCGGCCGTCTAAATGATACACACTAGATATACAATATGTCGGAGACGAGAGCACGCATTACCCCGCCACCGAATTCCCTGAAGGCAAAGATTGTCGAAGGAGGCCCATCAGCCACTGAGAGCAGTTAGTTGGTGGTGCATCTGAGAACAAAAGGCATGGGAGGAAGACGAAAAAGATGAAAAATATGAGCCGGATGCACTCCGAGGAGGACATTTGAGATTAGAGAGTATCATCAATCAAGCTGTCAAGTTGTAAAAAGCACCGCGCAAAAATTGCGGTGGAACATACTTCCGCGTCGGGAGGTTGTAGCGGTGTGATCCGAACCTCTGATTGGCAGATAAATTGGTAGATACCAGTACACAGCTATTCCAGGGCATACTTCCGCATCGGGAGGCTGCAGCGGTGTGGCTCGAATCGCTTTCATCCCTGGCCGCCAGGATAAGAGAGTCACCACCTACCGGCATTCCGCCCGGTCATGCAGGCGTCGAAGCTGAACTCTAGTGGCTCTTGTTCAGGGCGAAGTCTACTCCCATGGGGCCCTCCACACGGTCTGCGAATCGACGTTGAGGGGCACGCGTTCAGTAGACAGTATGGTCGGCCAACGGAAAAAAACGCGAAATAGGATCTTGGGCGATAGCAAAGTCGTCCCTGGACCTGCGCCCACGCAGACACTCCCTTGCTTCATTCTGGAAAAGGCTATCGTCTCATGCATGCGAAACAGATTTAAGAACACATCACTTTTTTAACCTTGCACTTGGCACGAACTATCCGTCCACCACGCTGGGGCAGTGGCACTGCCCTCTCCTTCTCTCATAATCGTACGGACATTTCTACCGACGGAAGTGCTTGCGGAGTTTCAATATTGCCATTCGGTCGGCGCCGCCCATCCCCAGCCGCACGGTACTGTTGTGCGCCGACTCACATTCTTCCTGGGTCCCGCGAATGGACTCCATACCATGCATGATATACTCCCCGTTAGCGTCACGAGTTGGTACCAGTGTCTCTCCCAGGACGCCCTGTGCGCCGACGCCGACGCTATCGCTATCAATTGCCAGGTTCATCTGCCAAGTTGAGTGGTCCGGCAGGCCGTATTTCGCGATCTGGTGGAGCCTTCCGTGGCTGAGACGGACGGTGGCGGTCGGCATGACGACCTGGAAGGAAGCGTGCTCGGACTGGTGGGCGAACAAGCCCCCATCGCCTCCCACCGCGAAGTGACGAGCCACGTACTCCGTGCACTCCGCCATGTTGGTCGCGGTGGGGTCCCCGTTGATCCAGTCGCCCATGTCCTGATCTTTCCTAGACAGCCTGCGACCGCCGGCCTGCGCGTACTCGAGCTTCTTCCGCTCCCAGTACTTCTCGAACCCGAACGATCGGCAGGCGCGCGGAAGGTTGACCGCAGAGACCTTCATGTCCGCAGCCATCTCGACCGCGCCGGGGGCGAATAGGGCCTCTTTTCCATCGAGAGCTACGCTCAACGCGCCGTCCGCGAGGCAGGGAGTCACTCCGGCCGGGCAGCTACTTTCCAACTGTACGGGTCCTTGACCGTGATGACGACGCTGTGGTCAAGGCCATTTCCATCCGTAGTGATGAGGGAGATCCCGGTGATACAGGTAATGTCCGGTCTGGAAGGGACCGGCAACGTCACACGCATGTTGAGGTTCATGGACGGCAGGTCTGAGATTAGGCAGTAAGTACCATTCCCCATCGTCCCCAGTGAAGTCGAACTTCTGGCCGTGGAAACCGGTCATGTGCGGGTCACCTGTGTTTGTTCGGAGGCGCGGCAGAATGTTACAGTAGTAAACGCGTGCATGGTAGGGTACTGGGCCAATGACAGGAGCGAGACACATCGTATGTCCATGTCTCTTCCCTCAACACGTACAGCCGTGTCCTATTCATCAAGACTCAGTGGATTAGTACTCCAACAACCAGCGTACGGATGACACATGCACGTACCAAACAGCAGGTAGGGCTCTCGGGATGTGTCGTGAACATTTACGGAATTCTTGACGGTCGCGCTACCCGGTCACTACTGCTGCTTGTGCTATATCTACGTCGACTAGATTCGAAACCGTTTCTGGTTGATGATGATGTGTACGACGACGTCGACAGAGCTCACCGCAAGCCATGGGGTCGGTGACCAAGGGTAACTCGCAGACCTTCTTCACCGGACAGCAAATCTCCGGGGAGGTGCAGTCGAAGTTGGTTTCGCAACCTGGCGCTCAGAAGCGAGGGTGACGAAACACTTGGTCAGTAAAAGCTGAGTGCATTCGAGAGGAACGCCATTAGACAATATATTACCTTGGCATCGTAAACCCTCAACCAGCATCGAACACTGTGCGCGAAACTGCATATGTCGAGACCAAGCCACGCACACTGTACCGTAGGTCTGTACCGAATGCAGCGAGTGGCGCTGGAGGCTGGATTCATGTACCTGGACACTTAACACCAACCGGTCATGCAGGATGGTGTCCAAGATAAAGAAAGGTGGAATATCGTGCAAGGTAGAGGCGAACAGGTAAGCGGGACAGCAACTGTTTCTCTCTAGATTCATACGTTCATTGCCCAGTGTCCCTCTCGTCACAAGATAGGTACAAACGCGAAGCGGTTGTTCGATGGCAGACGACGATATATATCATGATGTGTGAGGGAGATTTTGACGTGTCGTTCCCATCAGATATTGGCTATCGCATGGTATACACACGAACTCACAATAGTAGCGTACGCTACATATTCACCCTCATACGTACAGTGGCCTTTGCACCATGAATTGTGTTGTACTTTTTTCAGTCATCCCATCCACTACCGTCGCCCCCATTGCCTGTCTTCTTTACTCTGCGAGAACTCACTTCTGGGCACTTGCTTGCCTTCGACTTTGTCGCGAGATCTGTCTACCAACGCCCTTTTCCCTTATCAATAGTGACTCCGATTATGGTATGTGGCATGTGGCGCTGCTGTTTCCATCGTTGTTGTGGGCGTTTCTGTCTGTTTCTACGTGGTATCGCGGAACGTTCTGCCAATGGCACTGCTGAGTGAGTTCCTTCTTTTTTTCCCTTGAAAAGGCTGTGCCTTGTTTCGATCCTGTGGCCAACTGAACGCAGAATTTGCCAGCACGATCACCAATAAGGTATCCCGGGAAGGTTAACTCCACACGCGGGCATATCGGCGCCAGAATACAAGGGGTATTAACCCAGATGATACGCCCTTCTGATGCCTGCCATGGCCTCAAGATACACCGATGTGTCATGGACCGATTCATCCAGTGTCTCCTTGGCTGCGGTAAGAGAAAAAGCGACCGAACCCAGGGCGTCAAGTATTCAGCATTCGCTTGTCAGGCCCTGTTCCCACGTTGAACAACGCACGCTAACGCAGAACACGGCAAAGAACATGGTATGTAGATGACGTATGTACTCACCGCAGGCCGAGGCCGGATCGACACAGTCGCATCCAGTTCCGGTACCACATACGGTGTAGGCAGGGACGGCCTCTCGGCAGAAGCAGCTGCATACCTGCCGATCACCGAAGTTGCCGAAGAAGTCGCAGTCGCCCAAGTCGGCTAAACGACAACGATAGATCACGTACGAAACGAAACGTGTTACTGTAGAACACACATATTAGCTTTGAGCCAAACACACAGCTTTGGACTGAAGAGGGGATGCATTAGGCCAAACATGTTACAAAGAACAGCAGGCGCTCGCACTCGCTCAGCACTAATAGCGGGGTGCACTTCATATTCTCAACACAACCGAACAATAGCCGTATGTACTGCGAACCTCGTGGTCGCGGGGTCGAGGAGAAGCTGTCGCTAATGAGCCGAAACACACGGACTTGTCCCAAGTTATCGATGCAGGTCAATTCTATTAGGGTAGTCGACACCCGGTGCGTACTACCTGCTACCGGATCGCTGCAGCCTTGTCCATAAATGTAAACGAGTTCGGGGTCGATTGTACGAGTTTCGTCATCTGCATGATGCCGCGGGGTGTGAGGCGGAAGGGTGGGGGGGGGGGGGGTGAGATGGCATGAAGCCGGCGCATTCATGTGATGATGAGCACCACCACCCCTCTCTGTATCAAATGACGCCCCCACGCCCCCACAACTCTCAACACTGCTGCTACTGTGTGGTAAATGAACCAATGGTAACAACGTGCGTATCTAACAACAACGCACGAGCCTACTATCCGAATTCCAACTCCCGCCCCCCCAATATTTCCTAAATAAGCAAACGAAGGGAAAGCGAAAAAAATGTGCGCGCCAACAACAGATGTTAGAACTTGTGAAACTTCTGATGACATGGCGGACGTGGCGAACATGTGAAAATCACGCACACAAGATGATCAAGTCGATTGACTCGCCGTCAGCCGGTCGGTCGGGTTCCGGATATGTGATACCCTAGACCCCATTCCTTCTTGCCCCTAGCAACCAAGAGATACAAAGAGAGGAAGGCGGGCATGTTGAAATAGATCCCCTGTACACAGGGTAGAACCTCCCCGTCTGTCGAGGACGCTTCCCTCCTACCATACAGTTTCACCTGTTTCGTGATACATTTTATCCTACCGTATTACCACAAGGAAAGGTGCACCATGCTCAAGCGTACGAAGGCAGCCAGCAACACCCTCCACCCAACATGTTGTCTGTAAGTAGCTCTCGCTACGATGGCGGGGAATACAGTAGATGGCACGTTCGTTCACGTAATGCAAGTACCTTCGCACTGTTCTTGTGGGCTCTCGATTTTCTCGGGCGGGTTTCCCTTCGTCGTTGATAGTATGGCGGCCGTAGATGTCTCGTCCGTAGCTCATCCCGTACGAGAGGGGCAGTTCACCCGGATACACGACGCCGTTGGAATCACGCCGGGCATCAATCGAAACGTTCAAAATTGACCCCGATCACGACAGAGCGCTACAACCACCGACACGACCACTACGCCGTCACCACGTTTTTGGCTAACCCCACCCTCAAAAACATGAAAACACAAAACACCACTCACTCGTCGTATCCTCGCTCGCCCCCAAGCCCCCCCCCCCCCGCGCCTCGGCTGTATTCCCTGCCTCATTATGGGCAACAACTAGCTGACCAGATCCAGGTCACAAGCCCCACAAGCCCTACCCTGCACTCGTCATGCACATCACGCCCAGAGGATCCGAAAAAAAACTTCACATCTCAACTCGGCCCAAGTGCCACTGACCAGGTGGTACAGACTTGTCGCGGGTGCGTGCGACAAAATCACACCTACGTCCAAGCGTAAACGACCACGACCACAATCACGATTACGAACCAACCCCCAGAACAAATCGACCGAAAATATATCAAGTCACCCAAAAAGGCAGCCCATTCCAATCAATCTCCCCGGCCACCCGCCTGCTTCGAGTACTCGCCGTGATTCCCCTGAAACACCACTACCCTGCTCTCCCCCTTCACGGCCCCGCCACCCCCGCCCCCACCGTCCTCGAACGCTATCGTGTGCGAGCAGACCCGATCGAGAAACCACCGGTCGTGTGACACGATCAGCACGCTGCCGGCGAAGCCATTGATGGCCTCCTCGAGGCTCCTGAGGGTGTCGACGTCGAGATCATTCGTCGGCTCATCTGTAGGACAGACATGGGGGGGGGGGGGGGGAGGGAGGGCGTGTTCATGTTTTGCATGCTTCTAGCGAGTAGACCACTGAACACGCGCCCTCGAGAGGACGGAGTATTGATCCCACTGGACCGATCACCGATGGCCAAAAGAGGGGCTTTAAAGTCATGCGTGCGGTAGGTAGTCATGTGGTCATTGTGCACATCTCGTCTCCCGAGACAGAGACCAGAGCAGCCCGTCAGGTTCTCGACCACCACGACCGCATGGAACCGCGAGCGCGGAGGGACTACAGCCAAACGCTCCTACCCTTGCGATTACTATTTTACCACCAACTATCACTTAACTACACCATATCGTAGTCAGACCAGTGTCCCAGCGAAACGAATACCTCACGTTCCTCCCCATCTTGGTATGTCCGAAGAGGAGGTTGTTGCCTTCACATGGCACCAACGCAAGGAAAACACCAGCATGCGTGTTGGGGCAGGCTGCGCCCCCGAGAAGCAAGCGGGCTCGAACCCCTATCTATCTGCCGCTCATTGCTGCTTGAGTTGCCGTTCTCCGCGAAACGGTGAAGTGGAATCACTCGTTACTCCCAGCAGAATCCTCTGATTCGAGAGCCAATCCGGCGCCTTCCTTCGACCTCCTCTTCAGTCTCCTTGTCCTCCACCCTCCCCCCGGTGTCCGAAGCAAACCGAACACGTTCATGATATGATACGATGTTTGGGAGGAGTCTCCCCACACTGCGACCCTTGGCCAAAAGGTAAGAAACATCACAGAAAAAAAGACCAAGTTCTGGCGCAACCACTGGCTTCCGCCGCAGGAGTCCTCTCTCACCAAACCAAGCACATAGCATACACAGAATGATCCGCGCTGAGAAAAGACGCAAGCACAGCAGTAGAGAACACGGACAAAAACTCTCCCCAACTAAGGGCGTCACCCGAAGTGTTAGAAGCAGCAAACTACCAACACGTCACTTGAAGGCGTGACCCGAAGTTCTTGAAGCTAAAAAAAAACAAAAATCCACTGGTGCTCTCACCCAGTAGCAAGACGTTGTGCCCCTGCTTGAGGACCTTGGCAAGGTGCACCCTGTTTCGCTCGCCCCCGCTCATCGTGCCCACCAACTTGTCCTGCGACGCGCCCCTAAGGTTGAACGCGGCCGTGTACGCCCTGACGTTGACTTGTCTGTCCCCGATCTGCTCTCGAAACCAACGACACAGAAGGGCAACACGACAGATGGCATGCAGGAAGTGCTGTTGTGTAAGCAGTCAAAGAGCGACGAAACAAAAAAAAACGCCACCCACAAATCCATCGAGAGCCAAGATGTTGCGAAAGGCTCTACTCGTGAGAAGTGAATTCGCTTGAGAGATCACTAACAACGCGCGTGCGTGCGCGCGCCCACTGCGCGTGCGACATATGTACAGAATCCCATGCAATCTGAGACACGCTGTGCCGTCGCCACCCTAAAAGCTGCCTCGCGAGCCCTCCTTTTCCCACCCTCCACCACATCTTCCCTACCTCCAGCCTACCTGTATGGTGTCCCCTCCCTCAGAAATCTCTTCGATCGCCGACTTGTCGGGGTCCAGACCCGACCTCCCCTGGCTCACCAACCCCACCTTTGTATTTTATTATATTTATTTTTTTGCAATCACGAAGGTAGTTCCAAGGTGGACAGCAACCAGGAGCAGGAGCAGAGGCAGGAGCCAAATCGAAATCAAAGCATGCAACGGGCAAGACAACACAAGAGGCACCAAGTTTTGTGACAGTTAAGCAACAACAGAAGAAACGGCACCGCCGCTAAGCACATGTCTACTCGACGTAAGTCTAACCCCACGCCAACACCCTCGCCTTCTTGGGGTGCGTTCCACAGAAGGTACATCGAAGAAGCGACTCATGAAAAACGTCAGAACAGATGAGACCAAGCAAACGCCTGTTCCATCACTAACACAGAAACGACAGTCACTTTACAAACAGCCGAATCCTTCCTTCAGTAGATACCCCAAGGAGCGACTCGCCCACGCCCAAATCTCGCGGACAACTTATCCCTGGTGTTTCCGGAACACCTCTCCCTTCATCTAGGGGGTCCAAACGTATCCAAAAACTCAGCAGCGCCGCTTTTGAAGGGGTGCACGAATCAATGCGCCGAGTTTGTCTTGGCGAAGCGTTGGTGCCTTCAGCGCAATAAAACCGCCCCGTAGCTGTATGTTACCACGCACCTTTGCTAGCCGTCCCCACTCCACGGTGCCCCCGTCGGCCTCTTCGACCCCCGCGATGAGGTTGAACAGCGTCGTCTTCCCCGACCCGTTCGGTCCCACCTGCGAATGAACCAGAGCGGGACACCGTTAACGCCAACATTCAAGAGAGAGAGAGACAGAGAGAGACAGAGAGAGACAGAGAGAGACAGAGAGGGATTGCGGCCTGGTGCACCGATCCTTTTTTTTCGAGGGACGTTCAACAGGCTCAATCTCGTCCGTTTTTCGGGAGATGCCACCGAACCTTACACCGAAGCGAGACCTCCACGCCCCACCCTTCAGAACCGTAACGGGCTAGCGAGCCCTTTATCATCAACTATTGGGCTCTTCATCCTCAAATGGCTTGTATGACGCATACATCAAGATCGTGAGCGTTGACAGCCCGACACAGTAGTGTTTCCTCCAAAATCGTCCGGTCCCCCACAGCAGCCGCGAAGACAACTAACTTCAGCTTCAGCTGGAACGTGGACAGCAAACCAAGAATGATGGAAAGACTGATGTGACTGACGACTACACCTCATCTCACCACGCCAACCACGGACCCTGGATCGACCGTGAAGTTGACCCCGCTGAATAGGGTTCGGTCCCCGTACTTCTTGGAAAGGTCCTTCACGGTCAGCCCGCTGCGGCCCAACCGCGGTCCCGGCGGGATCACGATCTTCCTGCAAAAGCAAACAGGAAAAACGGGTGTGGCGTGTGGTGAGGTTGTGTGGGGTAGGAAGGGGTTGCGTTGTGCTTGTTGGGGATGGAAAGGGGGCTGTGCGGTGTAGTGTGTATCGTGCAGAATAGAAGGGGATCGTGTGGTGTGGCGTGTTCTTGTGGGAGTGGGTTATGTGGGGGGGGCAGCGTAGCAAACGTTTCGAGAACGCCGAGAGGAGGAGCACATGGGTACGCGGGGGGGGGGGGGGATACTCATAGTCGTGCATGCCGTAGTCGTTAGACCATTGACCTCGCATCCCTGCAAAGCCGGGACGGAGCACGCCGGGTTCTCACCGGACCAGGCTCTCACATCACCAAGCGCGAAGCGCCGTGAGGTATTTGGCGAGTCGCATCAAGGGTGAGCTGCATCCTGCTATAGGTGTTCGAAATCTTGTGCTTACTTGCTTGCGTACGGATGACAGCTGCGTATGACTTAATTTATTTTCTGGTGCTTTCACCTCCAGAGACAGTTGTAAGCACTGTGTAACTGCCTCGAGGATGCTTGACCATTCTAACACAACGCGGTGCGATCATCCCCCGTTGCGCGGAGTGAGGGTTCTCCACCCCGCACAACATGATCTACTCGACCACCATTATGGTTACCGCCAAAAACAAAAACAGAGGCAAAGAAATAAAAAAAAAACGGTGACCTGGTTGCCGAGTTCACGAAGTGAATTGACTTGTTTTACAACGTCGTTGCCAAGCGACGAAAACTCAACCCCGATGGCAAACCCCGAGGGGGGGGCTTGTTTTACAACGTTGCCACGCGACGAAAACCCAACCCCTATGGCAAACACCGGGGGAGGGGGGGAGAAAAAAAATGGAGCGCGTTCTTCCGCCCGTTGACTAATTCGGATTTTCTGCAATACCGCCATCGCTATCACACCCTCCTGATGACCATCACAACACCAACACCAACGCCAACATCAACACCACCAACACCGACACCAACGCCAACGCCAACACCAACACCGCCGCCGTCAAGATATGCATCACTTCCACCTCCAGCCACAGCGACACCACCACCATCACCACCACCACGTCTCACGTCTCACCCCTCCGACAACTGCTGCAGCTTGGCGGCACCCTCCTTGCGCTCGGCGACGGCTTTCTCGTACTTGTTGGCCCTCGCCTTGCTCACGCTCGCCCTGCCTGTCCTTATCCATTCCAGTTCCGACTCGAGCCGCTTCGCCACTTGGGCCTGAACGACGTTCGACGGAGGGGAGCGTACTCATGTCTTGCATGCATGCCTTAGCTGTTAGACCATTGACTACATGTATTGGCAAATTCCAAAAACACTTTGCTATCAGGCGCTGAATAGAGCGACGTGGAAAATTCTAGATGGGATGGGATGGTACGATTATCCGATGGGATGGTGATGGGATGGCAATCGCGATAAACGTGATGAGATCCCAAACCGCCTATTGTACCATCCCACTACCATCCCATTACCATAAAATACCATCCCTTCGAACCCCACGTGTACAATTGTAGCCCTAGAATTTTCTGGCAGGGAAAAACACCGCCAATAAAAAAAAAAACGGATATCTCTCTGCCTGGCCCTGTACGCCGCCCGTTTCCTTCCGGTGCGCGCGCGGGGGGGGTGGTTTACTCCGTTGACCCCGACGCAAGCAGTAGAGTGGATGAGGAACAAAGCAAGAGGGCGGGAAAAAGGTCGGCGATGTGGGTACAAGCCGCAAGCTACCCCCATGGGATGTCATCCCATTCTGCTTCTGTTTTTGTTACGTGCTGCCCGGCCTGCCTGTCGTCTCAAAGGCATATTGTATACCAACACAATTGACACAAAAATCTGGAGCCAAACCTGCTTGGAGTGCTCCCTGTCGAGGCGGTTTTGCTTTTGCACCAGCCACGCCGAGTAGTTGCCCTTGAACGGCAGCAGCGAGCCCCGGTCCACCTCGAGAATCCAGCCGGCCACGTTGTCCAAGAAGTACCTACACACCCAAGTCATTGTTGTTGTTGTTGTTGTTGTTTTTGTTTTTGTTGTTGCTGCTGCTGCTGCTGTCGCTGCTGTTACTGCTGCTGCCCCTTCTGTTGTTTCGCCTCCACTCGGGGCCTTATCTACAGGCTTTCAGTCCGACAACAGGTCGGTCCCAAGTCCAAAAAATCACATCTTAAACACACACACTTCCTTCACATCTTTCACATACAGCGTTTGATCCCAAAGTGAGGATAACTTAGCCCATGCACGCCGTTGATCACACATCCTTTGGGCACAGGCTGTGGCACAGCCCACCTGTCGTGAGTGATGCTGATCACGGTGCCCTTGAACGCCCGCAGGTAGTCTTCCAGCCATCGCACCGACCTTCGGGTTCAAAGTAGAACGGAGAATAACAGCGCGCGGGCGCGATGGGTGGGGGGGCGTACTAATGTTATGCATGCCTTAGCTGTTCGACCTTTGACCACGCGCCCTCGAGAGGACGGACCATTGTTATTGTTCGCACAGGACCGATCACCGGTGGCCAATTGTTCCTTCCTACGTTGCCAAAGGTGACTCAAAGTAGTTTTACGCAGACGCGGGGAAATCTCAGAGGGGGCTCCGTGGCGATCAACGGGGGCACCGTGGTGAGACGGGGTCCGTGGATCATTTTTGGTCAAAAATGGCGTAGTTTCTCAATATGAACGAACTCTGCTGCAGCGTTGCGCCATGGACCATGAAATACGGATAAATAGCTTCCACCACACCACACAAAGACCTATGCTTAGACCCCCCCCCCCGCGTTTGCCATCGGGGTAGGGTTTTCGTCGCTTGGCAGCGATGTTGAAAAACAAGCCGATCACATCGTGAGCTCGGCAACCACGTTATCGCTTCTTTTTTTTCTGCCTTTGTTGTTTTTTTTCCGGTGACCATGAATGGTGGTCCAGTAGATCATGTTGTGCGGGGTGGAGAACCCTCACTCCGCGCAAAGGGGATAATCGCACCACGTTGTGTTAAAATGGTCA